GGCAGCTGGCCGGCAATCGGCCGCCCTCGAGCGCTTGAAAGCGCTCGAGTCCAAAGTCGCGGAGCTCGAGGCGGAACTCAGGAAGACCCTGGAGGTGCACGAGGCGGCGGCCCAGCAGGCTGTGGCCCTGGCGGGCACGGACGCGACGGGGGAGGCAGACGACGAACTGAGGGGCGAGTTGGTCGGGCGGCTGGCCCTCGAAGCGCCTATCCTCGCGGCGGGCCTGGCCGCGAAGCAGGGGAGCGCAGTCGTTCCTTGCGTGCCGACGCTGTGCAAGCAGCGGCGTAACACGGCGGCGCGCGTTTTCGGCACCGCCGTCACGGCGGCCCAAAAGGCTGGCAAGGCGGAGCTAAACAGCATCAAGCGAGGTGCCTGGCATCGCCCGCACAGGTCTGCACGGTTGGGCCGACGCGGCGGTCAGCCTCGGCACCCCCGTGGAGCTGAGGTACGCGACGGCGTCCGCCTTCTCCTCTACGCCGCCCTGCTGGAGCTGGTCTTCATCCTGGTGGGCAGCGGCCCAGCGCGAGGAGGCCGCCGACGGCAACGGCGGCGCCCGTCCGCCGCGTGCCGTCCGCGCGCGCCGCTTCCGATGCGGTGCCGCTCCGCTGGGCCCTGGCGCGCCGCCGCGGACGCAGCGCGCCGCCAGGCACCGTCTTCGCGCTGGCCGAGCGCGCGAGGAGTGCTGCCGAGCCGAAGCCCCTGCCCTCGGCGTCGGGAGCGCGCTGGTGGAGGCGGAGCGGCGGGGGCGACGAGGACGGCGGCGCCAGCGCTGTTCCCCACGCTCAACCTGCCGCCGCCGAGCCACTCCTGCCCTCCCCCGACGGCGCCCGCGACGCGGGCCGAATCCGCCACGCTTGACGCGCAGGAGGTGGTGGACGCGACCCTCGTTCTCGAGGATGGCGTCGGCTCTGCGCCCAGCGCCCGCCGCGCGCTGTCCCTCGGCGGGTCTGTCGGCGAGCTGGCGCCCGAGCCATGCGCGGCCTTCGACGGCCCTGGCACGGCGCGCAGCACGACTTGCACGGCTTCCTCTTCCCTCAAGCCGCGGCGGACCTAGGAGTCGTCGAGCGCGACCTGATGGCCAACGAGGATGCTCTCCTTCATGGGCGCAGTGATTTGATCCAGGACGTCGACGGCGGCGGGGTCGGCGAGGCACTGGAGGAGGTGGAGGGGCCCCAGATTAAGACCGCTGCCATCGTGGAGGCGGCGGCGCTGGAGGCCGACGCGCATTGCCACGCGCTGGAGCCGGAGGAGATCGACGACGACGGGGGCGACGCGAAGGGCGTCGAGGTGCTGGAAGGCCCCCTGCGGGGCTGGCCCCAAGACGGCCTCCGCGAGGCCGCCCCCGACGACCCGTTCGACGAGCGCGCGGACGTCGGCGGGAAGCGGCGCCCCGCGGCGCTGCAGAGGCGCATGTGCCAGGCCTGGGCCGAAGGCGGCCAAGCGGGCTCGCCTCGCCGCGGAGGCCAGGCAGGCCAGGGCGGCGACCCGCGGGAGGTGAGCGGTAGGGCGGGCACTCGCTCTGTTTGCTGGGCCCGCCTCGAAAGTTTGGTCGGCGCCCTTCGGCGTGGGTTTTGGGGGCCGCCGCGTTCCCCCGTCGGGGTGCGGAGGCGGCCGCTGGCGGCTGCTGGGGGTGCCCGCCTCTGACCCCGCGGGGGCGGCTTCCGTCCCCTTGGCTTGCCTCTGGGTAGGCCAGGACGGTCGGAGGCCTTTCTGGGCCGCTTCAGGGCCCTTCCCTCGTCGCCACGGCGTCTGTGCAGCGTGCTCGCGGTGGCGCGGGGAAACTGACATCTGAGGCCTTGGCGGTCGTCTGCGTGCAGACTGTCGCCAGGGCCTCTTTAATGATGTTCCATCCATCCTCCTTCTCCTCCCAGTAGTGTCACAATCGGCGCGGTCGCCCAGAGCCCGCTGGGCCCCAGGCCCACCAAAGGACATCGCACGTGGACGTTGGCCAATTAGAGAGCGGCAGCGAATCGTGGAGAAGGGCCAAAGGCAACGCTGCCGCAGAAAAGTTTGCCAAGATGTCTGCCTCCAAAGCTAGCCAGCCAAGCAGTTTATACATCGAAGTTGCGGGCCGGAAAGCTCAATTGCGTGCTAAGTGTTTGGTTGCCATTTCCCGAGCTCGCCAGCAATGACCTACAGAGGCCCGCGAAGCTTCAGGCAAGTCCCTTGACAAACCCGAAAAGTCCCTCAGTCCTCCTACGGGGGCGTCCTCGGTGGGGCTTTCCTGGGGTGGTCTTGCTCCTCCTCCTCCTCCTCCTCCTGCTCCTCCTCCTCCTCCTCCTCCTCCTCCTCCTCCTCTTCCTCCGAGGCCGACTCCCACCTCGCCTTTGGAGACCCCAGGAGGGCCCATCAGTGGTTTACACATCGCGAGCGTTGGATCTGTGCTTCGTGCAGAGATGGTTGCCGTACCCAGAAGAGTGCAGAAGGCAGGGCACATGATATATGCCCTGGATGTTGCCTGCAGTGTTCTAACTTGGTGCCACAACCTCGCAGGCACAAGTGTTACTTCTTTGGTTCTGGTGACGAGACTGCCCCCTGCAGTACCTCGGTGTGCCACAGATGCGGCTCTTTCAGCGGATCGTGTTCCAGAGCCTATCAGACGGATTGCCCCATACCGTCCTCGAACAATGGCAGGGCCCTTCATTATAACAACTTTCTGGCAGGAAAACACCCCCAAGGAACGGCGAACCCCGATAGAGTGTTGAACCCCTCACTGTCCGTCGCTCACGTCGTAAAGGAGTTGCAGATGACGAACCAGTCAGCATAGTGCTGTCGGCTCGCAAGACATCTTACCTCATCAGCAATATGTGCGTGCGTCCTCCTCCCCATCTCCCTCCCCTCTATCTGCCCCCCTCCTCCCCTCTCATCTCCATCCTCCTCTCCTCTCTTCTCCTCAGACAGAAAACCCAGCGTCACTGTCCCAGGAGAAGGGGGCCATCGAGAGCTACCTGCGCGCTGCTTTTTACACACAGGATGCCCGTTAGAAACATGGAGCACGGACGTCAGAGAGTGCCAGGCCTGCGAGCAGGAGACCGGCTCGCAGCAGCACCGCGTTTGCCGCTGCGCCGCCCTCGGCCAGCAGCGAAGAGAGATTGCCGACAGCAACGCTGGAGTCATACATCGAGCCGCAACGGCCACAAAAGGGCACTCCCCTTTTCTGCCCGAGGCATTGTTTTCCACTTTTTGTCAGACCCATCTCTTGATGTACATGTGGGGAGAGTCTTCACACGCGCAAAGGAGAGGCAGGCCTGCACAGGGGCTTCGCCTTTTTTTTCCGACAGTTCAAGAGTTGGGCCCCCAGGGTACAAGAGCTTCGGTTGGGGATCGTCCCTCGTTTCGGAGGACTCGCTCGAGGTTGTTTTCCCGCCGTGCGGATGCCCAGCGGGGTCAAAGCCACGCCGTCCGCTCTCAGGTGCGAGCTGATAGGGTGTTTGCCCAGCTTTTGCAGCATGCCCGGCCGCCTCTCACGATCGCCATAGACAACGATACGGTGGTCAATGGACTCGGGCGGGCCTTGGTGTACGCGCGGTGCCAGATCGCACGCCGACATCTGGAATCAGATTTGGCAGTTGCTAGATGATACGTATCCAGGCCAACAGGGCCTCCAAGTAGCCAAGGTCAAAGCACATTCGACTGAGAGGCTCCAATCAGAGGGCCCTAGAACCCGGACTCTATCCAGAGCAACAGAGAAGCGGATGAGGCGGCCAAGCAAAGTGGTGTTGTTGCCCCGAAGCTAGTAGGGATTCCAGAAGTGTACCAGCAGAGGTACCAAAATGTCCAGAGTATGCTCCAGCTCGTAGCCGACCGAATGGTGCAAGGATGACCTTTCGCCGACACCACCCCCAACCCCCGTAAGAGGAGGAGAGGAGAGGGCGGCGCGGTCTTAGGAATTCACAGGAGCCCCCGCAAGGTTCCAGCCAAGCCTCATGTGCTACACTATACGGGGTCCTCCGTCACCTGTCTCAGATGCGGTAGGAAGGCCACTGCCAAGAGAGAACGAGCCAAATTCCGTCTCCAGGAGTGTTTGGGGCGTGCTGTGTGTAGGAGGCCTGGGGGGCCCTGTACCTCCTCCTCCTCCTCCTCCTCCTCCTCCTACCTCCTCCTCCTCCTCCTCCTCCTCCTCCTCCTCCTCCTCCCCCTCCTCCTCCTCTTATCCATTGGGAACCGAAACTTGTTTCGAGGCCACGCACTCTGGAAGACGGGGCCGTTCTTTTTCGGCTATACTGTGGCAGTCAAACCACCCAGGCTCTCAGAGGTCTCGCTGAGGTTTGCAGGCTCCAGCCAGCTGACAAAAACGCCCAGACCCACAGGAATCGTCTGCGGCGCGCGAGGCATCCCAAAGAGGATGAGATGCACGGCGAGGCGAGGGAACTCGTTTTGGCCAGGGTTCAGGACATCGAGGCCAGCTTAGCCCCTCAGGCCGCCGCCCCTTTCTCTCTTTCCTAGTTCCAGTCGTGCGGGCGGCATGCACCTACTGCTGCCGACCCGCCATCCTGCACACCTGCACACTCCTGCACATGATCCTCCTCTCCTCCTCCCCGCCCTCCTCCTCCTCAGTCTTCCGGCCTCCCTGCTCTTCCTTCCTCCCCCATCCAACCTCGATCCTCCGACGTTCCCCCCTCCGCGTGGTGAGCGTATGTCGGATCGCAATGTGGTTCTTCACTGGCTTGCGGCAGCCGTTCGCGGTGGCCGCGGCGTTCCATTTCTTCTCCTTCCTTCTTATTATTTTTCATATTGTTGTTATTAGTACGTTTAGTATTGCTAGTATTATGAATGTTATTATTAATAGTATCATTATTATTATTTGCATTAGTATTTTTATTAGTATTATTATTGTTATTAATATTATTATTATATAATATAATATTATATTATATTATATTATAATGTATTATAGTATATTCTATTCTATTTTATTATTATTATTATTATTCGCGACCCGCGCCAAGCTTAGGGGAGGCCTCGCTCATTCGACCAGACTGGCTTCGCGATCGCTCTCGCCCCGCACCACCTCGCCTCACCTCTTCCGGCGCCCGAGGAAGACGGCGAGGGGAGGGCCGAGGAGATGTTGCGGCTGCTGCAACAGGCGGACATCCGCCCCCGCGCGAGCGACCGTCCTCGAGCGCGCGCGCGCTCCGACCTCGCGCGCCCCTCGGGGCGCATCGGACCTTCTCCCGCGGGGCGACCTCATCGCGTTGGGTGGCCTCGCCTCGTTTCTGGCCCGCGGACCGTCGGATAGATCCGGCTTGGGCAGCGTTAAAGGGAGATTGGCTTCGAGGCTGTGGCCGTGATGTTTCACTTGGCTTCAAGCCCATCAGTGCATGTCTTCCCTGGCTACTAATGCGTATTACTGTTTTTATTGGTGGTGGCAAGTAGGCGCTAGAGTAGACATAAGTAGGCGCCAGTGGACATTCTCACGCATAATCCACGCAAGTTTGGGAGCGTCATTGGGCCCCCAGGCGACCCCTTCTGAGGCTTCCGGGGGCCCGCGGGGGCCTCGGGAGACCTTCTGGGAGAGGACACCCAGAAGGTTTACCCGCAGACACGTGGTCGCATGTCTTTCCAGCGCCCGGTCCGGAGCGCACGGTTACGTAGGCCCTCCACTCTGAGAAGCAGCGAATGCATAAACATCCAGCTTCTGAGCTCCACAAGCTCACGCTCTGCAGCTGTTTGTTTTTGTGCACCCCACATGAGCAAGCAGCGCGTGGTTTCCGCATCCTCCGCGTGTGAGTCGAGCCATATGTGATTCCAGCATCCTGGCGATTCCCCTTCGAATAATCATAGAACCTCCCCATCCCGATCCTCCCGAACTGCCTGGCTGCTGCATCGGTGTGGGCCTGGTGTTCAGGCGAGACTGCAGCGTCGCTGAACGATGTGTTGTTGACCGAGCCTGCAGGGTGCGCACTGCCCTATTCTCTGCACTTCAGCTCCGTCGTCGGCTTCAGCTCCAGTGCACTGCGAAGCGCCTTCGGACCAGGACGCTCCGAGTCGCTTTTAATGTCCGCTCGCACAGGTGTATCCCTCCCTCCTCTGCCCCGTCCGCTCCTCCTGGACGAGCTCGGGTGGAGGAAGCCGCGACCTCGGCTGTCCTCTGGCGGACTCGGCCCCCCCGGGGCTGCGTCCTCCCTCCTCCCTCCTCCTGGGGACGAGGTAGGGGAGAGGAGGCTGGAGCAGGACGAAGAGGGAGGAGACTGGAGGAGGCCGACGAGGATCGGAGACTGGAGGCTGGCACGCGGTATGGCGCGGCGGGGAGGCCGGGAGGATGAGCCATTATCGCGCTCCGCCCCCAGCCCTCCATCTCATTCCTCGTCCCTCCTCCATCATCCCTCCATCGCTTTCCTCTTACATCCTCCATTCTCTGTCTCCCTCCTGCTTCCTGCCCTGTCCGTCTCTCCTCCTATGCCCCCTCCCTCCTCTCGCCTCCATGATCCCTGCTCTGCTCTCTCATGCATGTTACTCTTCCTCTTCCTCCTGTCACCCCACCCCACCGACCCCTCCCTCCGTATCCTCCTCCTCCTCCTCCACCTCCTCCTCCTCCAACTGTCCCTTCTCCAGAGTCATCTTCACTCAGCCTTCTCCTCCACGTGCTCCCTCATCGCCTCACCGCCCCCCCCCTGCCACCGGAAGTCCCGCGGGCCACTGCCCCGATTGCCCAGCAGGCAGGCTGGGACCCCTGGTGGGCACGCCCCTTCGCTGGCCGTGGTGCCTGGGCGTCCGATCCATCTGCAGCGGCTGCACCTGCGGACGCAGGCGCGCTGGGTCGAGACCGACGGGGCGCGCTGGGCACGCTGGGCGCGCGGCGCAAGCAACGGGGCGCGCGGCGCGGCGGAAAAGCGGAGAGTGGCCGCGGCAGGGAGGAAAAGGAGGAGGAGGAGGAGGAGGACGAGGAGGACGAGGAGGACGAGGAGGACGAGGAGGACGAGGAGGAGGACGAGGAGGACGAGGAGGACGAGGAGGAGGACGAGGAGGACGAGGAGGACAAGGAGGACGAGGAGGACGAGGACGAGGACGAGGAGGAGGACGAGGAGGAGGAGGACAAGGAGGAGGAGGAGGAGGAGGGCGGAGGAGGAGGAGGAGGAGGAGGAGGAGAGGAGGAGGAGGAGGAGGAGGAGGAGGGAGGAGGAGGAGGAGGAGGAGGACGAGGAGGAGGAGGAGGAGGAGGAGAGGAGGAGGAGGAGGAGGAGGAGGAGGGAGGCGGAGGAGGAGGAGGAGGAGGAGGAGGAGGAGGAGGAGAAGGAGGACGAGGAGGAGGAGGAGGAGGGGAGGACGGCAAGGAGAAAAAGGAGGAGGAGAGGGGGAGGAGACACGGAGCTCGGGGGGGGAGGAGGGGGGAGGAGGAGGAGGAGGAGGAGGAGGAGGAGGAGGAGGAGGAGGAGGAGGAGGAGGAGGAGGAGGAGGAGCAGGAGGACGAGGAGGAGGAGAGGAGGAGGAGGAGGAGGAGGAGGAGGAGGAGGAGGAGGAGGAGGAGGAGGGAGGAGGAGGAGGAGGAGGAGGAGGAGGAGGAGGAGGAGGAGGGAGGGGGTAGGAGAAGGAGGAGGACAAGGAGGAGGAGGAGGAGGAGGAGGAGGAGGAGGAGACGGAGGGAGGAGGAGGGAGGAGGAGGATGACGAGGATGACGATGAGGACGAAGAGGACGAGGAGGAGGAGGAGGAGGAGGAGGAGGAGGAGGCGAGGAGGAGGAGGAGGAGGAGGGAGAGTCCACGGCCGAGAGGGGCGAACAGAGGCTGCTAACCTTGGAGACCTGATGCGGCCTGGGTACGACCAGAGGTGAGAACAACTCTTCCCCTCGGTGTTTTCAATGGCAACTGGGAGAGCATCGGACACCTCGAAAGACCGGGTGCCTGTTATCCGCAACTTAATTTTATCTCTCCCAGCCACTTGATCATTCAGGGTCGGAAGCGGCATTGGCCTTTGACGGTCCAAGCGCCCGCCAGGCTGTTCCCAGAATTGAGTTGGTTGTATTGTTGGAGGTGGTGGGCCATGTCCGTCGGAGTGAAGCTTTCGCTCTGGCGCGTGGTCACACTGACCATGTGACAGCATTCGCTCGAGGCCGTCAGTGCTGTGTGGTGGGGGTTCTGGATCTTCTTGGACCTACGCACTGCGAAAACTGAGCTGTTGCACTGGCCGCCCCATAATATGGATGGCCCTGTGGATTTGAGAAGTCCTGGAGGGGGGGAGGGGGGCGCTCCAGAGCTGCAGCAGGCTTGCGGACCAGCTGGCATCGGAGAGGGCCGAGGCCTGTCCGATCCAAGCTCGCCTGCGCCACCACGCTCTCAACTTCGAGGCCAAACCAGAGCAGCATTGCCCCTGCGCGGCCTCGCGCACTACCTCGCACTGCTGCCGCGAAGCCCAGTGCTCGCTCGCGCGTTTTCACCAAGAGCCTTGAGTCCAGGGCTGCCCATGCGAGAGAGAGAGAGAGAGGCGCTTCTGCCATAGTTCAAGCCGCGCAGCACGCACGTCACCCAGCTTCGCCCTGCTTTCTGCCCTGGATCCGGGGCACGCTGTCCCGCTCCCTATAGGGCGGCTCCCGTCCTGGAGCTTGGGGCCCCCGTGGAGGAGTGGTGTTGGCGTGGTTTGGAGACTTCTGCGCCCTGGTCTTTGTAATGGCTAGCAGTTAAAGGCTCGAGCCATGGGCTGCGGGAAAACGTACGTTTGACCCGGGATTGTTCCTGCGGGTCCTGAACACCCAGTGGCCCGTGAATGTGTTGGTTGATTGCATTGTGGTCCCCAGGGGTTCCCAGCAACATGTCCCTCACACAGCTTTGCGCTCTTCAGAGAGCCCGTAAGGGCACGCTGCCCCAGCAAGTTGCGTACCAATGGGAGTGAGGACGTCGGCGCCGCTCATGTGTAACATGCTCTGCCCATTGAGCTCTAACCTGCCCTACACGTTCAGAGTTCAGCTCCATGCAGCACGCAGTCAAACGTAATCCTCAGTTGCTCCTCCATCTCTCCAGGTCCCATCTACCTCTTCCACTTTATCATCATCATCATCATCATCATCATCATCATCATCATCATCATCATCATCATCATCATCATCATCATCAGCAGCAGCAGCAGCAGCAGCAGCATCAGCAGCATCCTTCTTCCCCATCTTCTCCCTCATCCCCCGTTTTTCTTCTTCCTCCTCCTCGTTCTCCAGCTCCTGCGCCTTCTCCTCCTCCTCCTCATCATCATCATCCTCCTCCTCCTCCTCCTCATCCCCCTCCCCGCTTTCCTTCACAATTGCACACGAATGCCGCTCTCCTCCCTCACCTGAGTACGCGCGGGAGGTATCCCGCCCCCTCCGCGCATGTTTGTCACAGGCCGGATCTCAGAGGGGGTGACATGTCTTGGACACGTGATGTTGCCATCCGATTGGTTTCGGTGATCCAGACGGTGTTCCCGCTGCAGCGTGGGCCTGATTTTCGGACCGGCGCTCAGCACCCGTCGTTCACAATGGCGCTCTCGCCCTCGCGCGGGCCACGGATTCTGGAGCCGAGTCCTCTGTCATCGTTGTCGCCCCCCTCGTGTCCCTTCCTCCGCCTTCCCCTGGTCCTCCTGCTCCTCCCACATCCTTCCACGCCAGACCCTGCTGCTCCTTCTCCTGCTCTTCATCCTGCTGCTCCTCCTCCTCCTTCTCCTCCTCCTCCTCCTCCTCCGCCTCCTCCTCCTGCTCCTCATCCTCCTCCTGCTCCTCATCCTCCTCCTGCTCCTCATCCTCCTCTTTCTCCTCTTCCTCCTTCTCCTCCTCCAATGAACGCAGTTCCCCGATGCTGATTGCGCATGTAGAGATGGGGTCTTTTTGGAAGTTCCAGGTCGGCTATGACACGCGTCCGCGGATTGAGAAAACATCAGCGCAACGGGAAGGGATGGGAGGAAGGGATAGGATGTCAGATATGGCGCGAGCGTGCCCACCTTGTCCTCCTCCACTCTCCTCATCTCCCTCGTCCTGCACAAGAGTTGTAAGGAGTCCGCCCCGTGCAGCCTCCCACCCCTCGGCTGGCCCACGCAGGCGGAC